TGGAGGGACAACTACGCAGGTTGATTTTAGCGCTGCTCATCGTGGACTATATTGCTGTCATTGTTCATTTTAGTCAAACCATACAGTTTGAAAATGAGGCGCGGCTCCAACTAGAAAACAATGTTTTGATGCATTGGATGTGCTGAATGTGCATATTAAGGCAGTACAGGAGGAGGTGCACATTAATAATCCTCCAGGACTGTAACATGCTCATGTTTAACCCAAACAATGTGTCATGTGACTGCAGCTGGTTCAGATCCAGGTCAGAACACGTACCAGAGTTCATAATCGAACTGAGACCACCTCCTCAAAAAGGTCTCGGTCCAGTTGTTTTGATGGGCACACGAATGCGATTGCTATGTTCACACCTGCCCAAACGAACCACACTTAGGGGGCGAACAAACTTGAGTTTGATTGAACTGAGCCAAACAGGGCAGGTGTGAAAGCACCCTAACTGCACCCTGGGAGGAGCGCATGGATGAAGCCAAGGAGCAAAAATGTGCCAAGTACCAGGAGCTGATGGAACGGTGCAGGAGGCAGGACTGGAACACCCACTGTGAGCCTGTTAGGCTGGGATGTTGGGGCTTTGCAGGCTGGTCACCCTGCAGAGTACTCACAAAGCTGGGGATAGTGGGACTGGCTAGGAAGAGGGCCATAAAGAATATAGGGAGCCACTGGGTTGCTCTGGCTGAGGAGGGAGGCCGCATGGTCAACTGCTGCTGGGATGCAAGCCAGGGACTGATCACCCCTGGCTGGGTCACCTGGGTGAGGGTGTCTGATGTTTGAAGAGACCCGAAACACTCAATGACCCTAGAACACATCACTGACGATGCATCCCAGGGTATCCACAGGATGTATTCTATAAGCGGTCAGGGATCGCTTTAATGTTAAAGGACGTTAAAACATGGACCAGTTATTGCTGATACAATGATCAGATCGTTTTGAAATCAGTGTAAAATAAGTAAAAGCACAATTCAAAATAAAACTCATACACCATAAAGTAGTAAATTAAAATGAAGGTGTTATTAGCGGGTTAGAAGAATATTTACAAGTAAAATAAAATGTCATAGAACATTTACTCAGAATTGGGTTCAGGTTAGGGTGAGGGAAAGAACTGTTTCAATGTGGGTCCTCACAGTGTGTGCGTGTGTGTGTGTGTGTGTGTGTGTGTGTGTGTGTGTGTGACTTACATTTCTTCAATAGTGAGATCTGGTTTCCACAAAATGTCAGTAGGAAGAGAAACATTATCAATGCCACAAAACTGATTTGGGTCCCAGGAGATGTATTCATTGTGCCACCTCTGCAGATGAAAACCAGGGGTCACATAACAGGAACATAAAGGGAAAGAAAGTGAGACACAATTTAAAATGGCACTTAGACAGGAAAAAATAAAGGAAAAACATTTACCAACAGAATTCCAGTCTTTATCATCTCACTCACCATGACAGTCCAAACATAAGGAATGAATTTCTGATCTTTTTCAACCTGTAAACACAAAAATACATCTTGAAAATGTTTCCAGCCAGACGAACACTTCAGACAACGTCAAATCTAAACTAGAAACCTCTCAGGGAGCACATGCATACACATACCTCCACACAGACTGCACAATGCTCTGAAATAATAGATTATAACATTTAAATCTCAATCTACATTTACAGTATGCACTGTTTTACACTGGTACATCAGTCATTGTACCTTTGGCCTGTTGGGCTACTTGACAACCTGGGGAACTGAACTAAACTGTGCGCATCATATTTTTCACTGTACATATTTTCCCATTCATGTGTTTCCCTTATGTGCGTGCTGTTGTAATGGTTTATGTTGCCTGTTGCTTGTTTCTTTTCCTCTTAGCTCTTTTCTTTGAATTGGAACTGAGCTACCGCGCTGTACCAAAACTTTCACCACCAACTGTGTTGCATGCCGATAATAATAAATTATCAAGTATCAAGTGATAGACAGGCCTGGAAGTCCTGTCTGGAAATACCTCTGTGAGACATTAGCCCCGTCTCCACCAAACACTTTCAGTATGGTACCTTTGGAACCAACAGTAACCCTTCAGACATGGTACCTAGACCCTAGTGTTTCCACTGCAAACAGTACTCTTAAATATGGGCGGGGTTGTTGTCACTCACTGCTCCGTCCAGCACTCACTGTATTTCCTAATTACCAGTGACACAGCTGGAAGTCTGCACCTGAGTCTCTCTCCATGGGATATTTAAAAATGTTGACCAATCAACAGACTGCAGTGTTCACAGCTCCACCTTTTAGTACCAGATCTGTGTGCTAGGTACCCCAACAGAGGGGGGACCAAACATGGGGACAGTGTAGAACGGTTCCTTTGGTACCATCCACAACTTTTCACAGTGGAAACAGAAAAAAAGCATACCGAACTGTACCATACTGTACTGCTCAATGGAAAAGGGGCTAAAAAGATTAGTGGTTTGGCTGCAGTAAAACTTGCAGAGCCTGCCCTCTGACTCTGTGTGGTGATAAATATCTGGGCTCAGTCACACTTCACTCTGTTAGACAGGAACAGCCAGAGAAAGAAAGAAGGCAATATCAAGTCAAAGCGTGTGAGATATACTCACAACTAAAGATTTGGTAATTTTTTTGTTATACTTATTTATTATTTATACTTTTTTTTTTCCAAAAATCTGTTTTGTAATTGAGTTTGTTGTAAAGACAAAAAAGAGGCCGGAATATATGATAAACTTTTGCACATCCTGCACAGAATTTTACAGCTTTTCATTTTTAAAGCAGCTATGTACATATCTGTTATAGAATTTATTTTATAGTATCTTTCGCATATCTTACTATATAATGATGAAAACTCTGTCTGTGTGTCTGCTCCACGTTTTTCTCCTCACTGACTTGGTCAATCCATGTGAAATTTGGCACAGTGGTAGAGGGTCATGGGAAGATGAAAATGAAGCAATATTACATCAATTGGCCAAAGGGGGGCGCTATAGCAACCGATTGAAATTGCAAACTTTGAATGGGAATATCTCATGCCCCGTATGTCGTAGAGACATGAAACTTTGCACAGAGATGCCTCTCCTCATGAGGAACAAATTTGCCTCAAGAACCCATAACTTCTGGTTATATAGATTTTCCGCCATTTTGAATTTTTTGAAAAACACTTAAAATTGATCTCTTCCTAGGAAGTTTGAGCGATCTGCATGAAACTGGGTGAAAATAATCTAGGGACCAATATCTAAAGTTCCCTCTTGGCAAAAGTTGGAAAACTTACTAAAACTGAGCTTCTATAAGGCAATGAATATTGCGGAGGGCGTGGCTCATCACATAAAGGTGTATAACATCTCAAGGGTTTCACCCATCACCACGCAACTTTGTAGGCATATGACCACACATAATCTGAGGGGACCCCTCCATTATTGACCCCATCAAACAAAATGGGGGCGCTAGAGAGCTCATTTCTTATCTAGGCCTAACCGCCATATGGATTTTTACTAACCTTGGTAGATATGTAGAAGGTAAAGGTAAAGTTCCACTGATTGTCACACACCTGAATGTGTGAAATTTGTTCTCCGCATTTGACCCATCCCCTGAGGGAGCGGTGAGCAGCAGCGGTGCCGCGCTCGGAAATCATGTGGTGATCAGGACGCCTCAAGGTGACTGGAGAAATTTAACTCTAATTGGCAACTGGGTGGCGCTATAACAACAGAAAAACGGCTAAAATGCGACAGATTGCTGTGGCTGCAATCGTACTATCAAATTCACAAAAAACTCTGTCTGAATACATTGCTCTTCTTAATGGGTTCAGTTGATACTTAATCTGCAATTTCCTATGACCTGTATCCCAAACACACACCATGTGAAACTGTATGTGGGCAACTGTGTTGTATTTGATATTTATGTTTTTGGCTGATGCAGTACTTTGCCTTTGTTCTTCTTAATATGTCATTGTATGTATATTTCAATGTGCCTACACCAAGGCAAGTTCCTTGTAATGAAAACCTACTTGATAATGAATCATATTCTGATTCTGGTATCTAAATCAAAACTTACTGATCAGAGTCAAGACCACGTTTAGTTTGTAGACAATGAATTTTCCCAAAGGCAGAGAACATTTTAGGTGTTACATTATATGTACACAGGTTGGTTTTGCAGGTTAAAAAGAGTAATAAAAAGGCATTAAAGAAAAGCACTACAACAGATCTACATAACTTCTACAAGTTTGCATGGCCAGCTGGAATATTTTCAACCTATCTCTTATCTGCAACGGCTTAGCTGGAGCTGATCGCAGCTGACTCACATTCACACCTACGAAAAAATTTAGAGTAACCTGCATGTCTTTGGACTGTGGGAGGAAGCTGGAGTACCTGAAGAAAACCCACGATGACACGGGGAGAACATGCAAACTCCACAGAGAAGGGCTCCCCCACCCTGGGTTTGAACCAGGAACCCTCTTGCTGTCAGGAGACAATGCTAACCACTGCACCACCGTGCCGCCATGTGTCATTTGATTCATGCCAAATATGTTCAAGAGTTATGGCAGTGTGCCACAACAATCTGGTAATTCAAGTAAAACTGAGATATCAAAAAAAATGGATGCAACCTGTTCTGACAAAATAAAAATATTAAACACTTACCACATCTAGAATGGCATAGAGTAGTACTTCCAGGGAAACCTGTGTGGGGTGTTTGTAGTTTTTAACGGGTCGGGTCATAAAGAACAGCTCGTTGTTTGTGGACAAGTTCAGGTGGTTTAAAACATCCTGATAACTGCAGTTACCCTCAGGCGACACAACATCTACAGCAGAAACACAAGAAGACACACAAAATCAGAAAATTATCCTTGCTCTTATTATCTTATGCTCTTATTAGCTTTGTTGTTGTCTGTCTGCATATCAGATTTGCAGTATGTGCTGTTAATGATGTATAATTTCAAAGAAATGACAAACATTGGTCTGTGGGTATCCACTACCGCTAAATCTATAATGTAACCATGAAAAAACACCAGCAATATCTGCAGTAATATCCAGTGACTGCGGTCACTGAAAGGCTATTATAGGATGGGCGTTGGCAGGACAGCAGGGTTTTATTTCATCACTTCACTAATGATTTTTTAAATGTGAGCATTATTGCAGTAATTTCAGTTTTAATGTGGCTCTGTTTCAGATCCATCTGCTATTTGTCAGCAAAGTACATGTTCAAATCAAGGCACATTTTTTCAGCTCAAATCTGGGTTTAAAAATCTAATTATGCTAGCTAAAGATCTCCAACGTTCCATTTTATTGTTGCTATCGTTTCGAAAATGATATTCAAAAACAAATCATTTTTATTGATGTGCTTTTCTTGGTTTTTATTTGTCACATTTGTCAGTAGGAAGTTGGAAAGTTCCCTTATTCCTTCACTATAAAGCAGATACATGCATCAGCATAATTAAACACTTAAATTTTTGGAGTCCATAAAAACATTTTGATTGAATTAACAAGCCACAAGAATGTTCAGGAAATAAGTTTAGCTTTTCTCGAAACTGGGACACATTGGGCACATACACCTGAACGCATCATGCATGACATTGTCCATGCTTACCTGAGAGGAAGAGCAGGACGAAGAAACCAGCGAGCATCATGACTCCAACACCTGTAAGAGCCCAAAGTCAGTGAGACGCCTGACCGGTGAATGTGTATCCCCGTCCTCCCAGTACTGTCTGAGAATGTCACCAAGTCTGTTCCAGTAATAATACCACTGCCTCATACTGGAAGAGGGCCGGACAAACTGGATCACCAATCTTTTATTTATTTATTTATTCATTTATTAAATAATGAATTAGTCCAACAGCCATCTGGAGACTGTGGTCACTCCCACAGTGGTCATCACAGCATCCCTCAGTGGTCTCTTCGGGGAGGAAGAGGAAGAGGCGAGACACTTTGGAGACCAAAATGTGCCATAATGATGTTTAATGGTAAAAGTAAGTAGGAGTTACCGCAGATAATTAACATGCCACACACACACCCCAGCGAAAAATACATTAGAGATGTATTAGAGCCACCTGATACTTTGATGTGGCTCATCTACAACTGATGATACATATCTGTTGTCACTGATAACAACAATAATGCAGTTTACAAATCAAAACCAGCATTACAAAGTGGGGGGGGGGGGGGGCAAAAAGCAGGGGTAAAAAGTTTGGTTTTGTTTGCATTTATTTATTTATTTGTCTAATTTCTATGTAGTTAATGCCATGAATACATTAAAATTGGCTGAATGAACCCTTTTACTGTTAATATGATGTTTTTTAGTGGGCGGGGCTTAGCTGGAGACAAAACAATTCTCCACAGACATTAGCCAGCACTAGCTAACAAGTTCTGTTGGCTTGATTTAGACAACAGAGAAAGATGATGCGCGTGGTGCATTCAGAAATACTTATTCTGAGCATCGAAGCGCACTCTGGCACAAACTGGACCGTTCGTAAATTCATAACGCTGTCGGAATGTACTGTTTGGTTAGCCATAAAAGGTAGGCAGTGTTTTACCTTCTAAGTTTGCTTGCTTAAGTTTAGTCAACTACAGAACACAGTTCGATTTTGAAAAAAACACTGTTTGGCTAAAAACAACTACGTTTGTTAAATGTCACATGACATACATCACTAGCATATTATGCTCAACATACTAGGGCACGACGCCTTTCTTAGAACAACTCCTTGACTTTTGGTTTCACACTGGACTTCTAGAGCAGGCTGCTGAGTGAAAGTTTGTTGGACTCATTCTCCTCCCCTCCCGGCTCAAACAATCTTGCTCTTCATAGCCTACCATTGTCATTGCCCGGAGAGTCAACAGCCACCCCCCAGGTCGTCTCATATCACTGCTTAAGTGTTGCTCTGTGCGTCAGTGTCTGACAGCGACAGGCCACTCACCAAGCTTTGGTATCTGACCATTTGGGCGTGAGATCGAGTTGCGAAGCTATGTTTCTGAAAACATTTAAGATTAGAAATAGACAATGTAGTAACAGAATCGTGACTCATGCCGTATTTGACTGTCTCACGTACTACTGTGTGGATATTAAGACGGTTTCAGCGAATATGATGAAAAGTTATTTTTATAAAACTGTAGCTTTACGTGCACCATCAAGAATAAAGTACAGTGCAACTCAGTAGTTCATAAAAACAAATCTACAAATTTAAAGGAAACATGAAGCCTCTTTATAAAGACTTCAAAAGATTTAAAAGGAGATACTGTTGTGGCAATCCAGAGTTTCTCAGACAGGTTCCACATCCGAGTAGCCCTAAACGCTCTCCCCTTTAGTCTTTGAGCATGTCAGCCGGTTCCTGGTGAAGAAACAGCAGTTCAGATATATATTTTGAGACCATAAAGAGCTTTAAAAGTAATAAGTAAAATCTTAAAGTCAATCCTAACAGATTGGCAGCCATTGTGAGGACATTAAAATTGGAGTAATCTGCTCTTATTTCCTGCTGTCGCCTTTTGTTTTACCTTCTAAAACTGTAACAGTAGTCACACTGTCAGGAAATAAAAGCTTGAATGATAGTTGTGTGTCATTAAGAGAGTGAGGTTAGATTAAACATTGCATTTAAAGGCATAGTTATCTTTTGTTTTACATTTTGGAGCTGCCATTACAGTGAAGCATTGCTTTTGTAATCATCAAATTGATCTCACTCATACTGGAGCCGTCTGTCTGCAAAAAGGAAAGATCACCACCTTGTGGTGGCTCATGGACACTGTCAGACGCTGCTGGGTTTTATATGTGGTGAAGGAGGTCAGGGACACGTTGAACTTGGAGGACTGGTTAGTAAAAGCCTGCTGGAAATTTGGAATTACTCATAAAAAATTCAAAAGGGTTCAAGACATATGTGCAGTGTAAAGGAGATGTTTTTAGGATGTGTAGTAATTTGCCACAACTGTTTTTCGAAATATATTTTTATTTTAATATAATTTAATTAAAATTAATTTAATTAAATATTTAATTACATCACTTCCCACACTGTGGAGCTTTTCGTGTTTAAAAGATAAACCATGCAGTACTTTTTCATGTTTTTACCTTTTTTTTTCTGTCACGAATGTTTTGTCTTTTATGTTTAACACTTTGTGTTGCACTTTATACATGAAATATGCTATATAAATAAAGTTATTGTTACTGTTATTTTCCTGAAAAATATCATCACTTATGACCTACAACAAGTGTGGCGGTGTATTTACTTGCAGAGACTCTCTGTATTTTCTCATTCTATTCTTATTTTACTGTGTTCGAGGCGTTTATGGGCTGAAGCCTTTGATAAAAAGCAAATACAACAAGAAGAAAAACCAAGCAGACAAAGCTGATTCAAAAACAAGAGTGAACCTGGGATTGGCTGTTACCTGTTGGCGAGCACTTAAGTAGAGGACAGCGATGAAGAGTTGGCCCGTCTTCTTTTAGACAGTAGGTGCCGGCGGTCAACTCAGTTAGCTTGCTAAACTATCGGCTCTACCATCATAACAAATACAACATTTCAACAATAGTATGTTGCAAGTTTAAATGTTGTGTTTACAAACGGTAAGCGACCGTTCCTGCATAATCTACCTTTAATAAGTTTTTTTCTGTTGATCATGTCAACATCGTGACTCCTTTTTGGTCAAAGGTTTACTGAGCTGAGGAAATTGAGTCATTTTGGCAATTTTTAAAGAGAACATGCTGTCCAAACCTACATGTGTTCTTTAAGTAAGATAAATACAAAATAAAAACCATTTAAATTTTATGCCCCTCCCCTAAACATAAATAAAAGATTTCAGTTCCTCTCCAGCGCTTAAAAAATTATTTGACATGCCTTCCCCTTTTGCCCCTAACACTTCCTCCACCCATAAATAGCAACAGTTCCTGTTATAGTTGTATGGTATAAAGTGTGAAAGTCGACAAGGATGTCCTTCAAGTCCAACTTTGTCTCTTGCCATAAAATGGCCGTGCCTTCTAGAAAGACACAAAGAAAGATTTTTCTGATCTGATGCATCAGTCAGCAGAAGAACATCTTTAGTCCGTGCCTTCCAAAAATTTTTAAAAAGCCACTAATGAAAAATAAATCTGTTTTATGAGCACAGTCTCACTCCGAAGTTGTTGAAATCTGGCGCTTGGGCAGTGAAACCAAATAAAAAAAGCGTCCTTTGACATCGGCATGATACAAGGCCGGTTGGTGTTATAGTTTAACAGCACCCGGCGGTGTCAGGAGGAAACATGGCAGGACAAGAACGAAGTTATGGCAGAGAAAGTCCGATTGGGGCAGGTCGGAAGGGATGGTGGACGGGTACAAGAAACACCAACTTTCATCTGAGAGAGTGGTGTTTGCAGTGTTGTACCAACGTAGTGTGTTTATTTTGAAAGAGACTGTATGTAAATGTTAAATTTCCAGTGAAAACAGAAGTGTATCTTGAAAGAAGAGAACTTCAAACAGTGTCCCAGAACGCCAACAACCAACGCACCCAGGGTACCTCGCACGTCGTATGCTGACGTGCAAAGTCCATGACCCAAACCTCAATATGTGACGAGGTTGGAGTGAGAATGTGTTGACTTTATCATTTGACAACACATTGGTTAAAGTTTGGATAGATTTAGGCAAAGATTATGGCTTGGGTTAATGTCATTAAGTTGAGGGGACCTTTGTCCACATGGTTTCAATAAACACATGAGCAGGGTTAAGAAACAGTCGTCACCATGCTTGCTTTAAAAAAAAATAATACTGACCGACAGTTGGAAACAGGAAACAAAATTTACATTACAATTCACCCGTCCACCTCCTCCCTACGTGGACACTGTTGCTCTATAATATCACCAGAATGTGCAGACAGGAAGGATTCATAGAAAAGGTGAAGTTACATAGTCTTACTGGCATGTGTATAAAGTCCAAACTGAAAGTGAGAGTCCAGAAGTAGGTCTGGATGATTAGGTAACAGTTTCTGCATCACAGGATGCAGTGATCAAAGGCATGCGCACTAAGACACCACAACAATTCTGATGATCTGGGAAGGAGAGAGTGGGAAAGGACTGGCTGAATATCTGCAGGGCTGATGAGTAAAGTCATAACAGGTGAGTGGGGAAGGTCAGGTTACTGGGGCAAGGGGGAAAAGTCAGTGGGCATCTGGTGGACAGGAAGGGAATGGCAATGAACGGGAAGTGGGAATGTGGTTGGAGGAAGAGATGGACAGGCAGGATGTGCTAATTAGTGAAACAAAGTCCAGCTGATGAGAACGTCTTTACCTCCGCATGTGTTTGGTCGTAAACCAAAACACTGGAAAAATTGAAAGCTTGACTTGATGATGGCCCTAGAAGAAAAGAAGAGGGACCTCTTAAGTTATTACAGCTCATCATTTGATCTACACTTCATCTGAGTTACTAGGATTCATCCTCTGAAGAAAATGAATGTCAATCCATTCAATAGCTGCTGAGATATTTCAGCCTGGACAGACGGACCATCACTGCCTGCTAACAGGGCTTAACAAAAATAACATCCACCGTGATTTGATGTGGTGAAAGAATAAAACATGTAAAAGTCCTGAGGGTACTTTTTATACGCAGCCTGTGTGATGAGCATCCAGTGATAGATCAGACCCTCTTTTCTGATGATGTGTTTATAACATAGAGACTATCATGCCAGTGAGGACGAACGTGATTGGTTTAAAGTCTGAGTGAGAGATGAGCTGTGAGCTGAGAGTGGGCTGAAACAGGACAGGAGGGAAAGATCTGTTTGTCTGAGGGGAGAGATAATGTGAAATATTACAGTGTAAATCATGACATCAGTGAGGTCAGTGAAGAATTGAACTAGAGGGCAGTAAAGTTTCCTCTTATCTTTTACAATCAATAGTCCAGATTGGATTACATCAGATTAGATTTGTCTATGTTTACACTGCACACAAGATTTTGGGAGCTTATGAGTCATTGAACACAGCTGCACCTTCATTTATACAATTATATCCACCTTTTTTTGGCTTTGACATCAATGCAGCTATTGATGTATCTGTGGGTTAAGCCACAGTGAGGACTTTTTTTCTCCAGTGAATCATAACTGTGTTTATACATTTATTATTTGTTTATTTTAGCCTACAAATTGATCATGAACTAACAATTGCTGCCGAAGATTTCAGTAGCTTTAAAGCAGACAATGTTTGTCCTTTCTCTTTTCTAAATTCAAACATTTAGTGGTTTGTATTAGGGTTTAATGTTGTAAACATTTATTATCCTGGTATCTGTTGCTGTGAACGAACAACAATTATTCACTACACATTATACAATCATTCGAAGGTAGTCAATTGAACTGGCTTTGACAGTAATGATATCTGCAGGATCGTCCAAAAATGATCTCATCTAAACCCCAGGAAAAAAAAGATTCACAAGATGCTTTTAAAAAGCACAACACGACACTTGTAGACATCACTTGTAGAAATAGAGCAACAACCAAAGTATTACAAGGTGTTATTTTACATTTCTAAGTGTTCCATGCGATGAAGATGAGGGGTAGAAACAGTGACACTATGGTGATGTAGAAAATGAAGAAAACTCTGTTGATTCTTGAGGCCCAAAGACCGGACTTCCCTCCTTCCAGTCTGCAGCCGAGGTGCAGATTCAGAGTTTTCTGCAGCTTCCTCAGCTCCTCCAGGATCAGCAGTAACACGTGAGACTCTCGTGACTGAATGCTGTTGTTAACCTGCACACACCAGGAGACACAGAGTCAAATTAGAATGGGTTGATTCATGTGTTATTGTCCTACAAGTCAGGTGGACAAAAACTGTGATGTGTCCGAACTTAACGTTTCTTAACAGGCTGGATCGGGTCTCTTAAAACAACATATCCTCATGGAACGGTTCGTATGGTCTATGATTCAGCGCCCCACAAATGACGTTATGTCCTTGATGTAAAGTATATAATTAACGTAAAGTTACTGTGGCTAGGTTTAGGGAAGGAAACATGGTGAGGACATACCTTAAAATGACTCAAAGTTCACATGAATTTGAACATGTGTCTCCTGGGGAAAGCCAGTGCTTTTGTGACCAATCCACCACCCCAACCTGCCTTCTCACAAGACTGCTCTGGACCGCCTCCTTGTTTACTCTCCTTGTTTACTCCTATCAGTGCATTGGTCACATGATCGCAACCTTCCAAAATACGTGGGTTTAGCACGAAGTACCTGCTAATGATTACAAGGGATATGTACGAATTTGGGTGCATTACTTTCATAGGAAAACTTAGTTTATGAGAACAGCCTGCTTAAAGCATGTTAACATGTTGAATTTTGCCATTTTATCTAAAAAGTGTTGACTGATGCTTCCGACTCCGCAGCCCAAACATTGGTCTATAGTTTAACCTTATCTGCTTATCCAGGGCCAGGTTGCGGGGGCAGCAGGCCAAGCAAAGACTTCCCAGACTTCCCCAGCAATGCTTTCCAGCTCCCAGGCCAGATGAGATATGTAATCCCTCCAGCGTGTTCTGGGTCTGCCCCGGGACCTCCTACCAGTGGGACGTGCCAGATACACATTTAACGGGAGGTGCCCTTGAGACATCCTGATCAGATGTCTGAACCACCTCAACTGACCCTTTTCGACACAAAGGGGCAGCGGTTCTACTCCGAGCTCCCTCCAGATGTCAGAGCTCCTAACCCTATCTCTAAGGCTGAGCCCAGCCACCCCACGGAGGAAACTCATTTCGGCCGCTTGTATCAAAGATCTCATTCTTTCGGTCAATACCCAGAGCTCATGACCAAAGGTGAGGGTTGGGACGTAGATGGACCAGTAAATGGTGTGAATATGTGTGCAGAGCAAGCTGTTCAAACAAATTGCCCCTGGTAGGATTAATAAAGGTGTCTTAATCTGAATCTGAATCTGCATGATTACACCCATGAGAAAGACACAATTTTGTCCACCAACCTTGTGATAATATCAGAACCTCTAATGACGTACCTCTTCAGCCATGGGCAGCAGTTCGTGCGGTTTCTCACCACTGGACTCTTTGCTGATGCATGAACAGCAGGTCTGTCTTTTCTCCTCTGGAAACACACAGCAGGTTAGTCACAGAATATGATTCACAATCATGCTGCCTATCAACAACACTGGAAAATATAGTTTCAAATCTGTGTTATTTTATTAGGGGCGAGGTTTGACCGGATATGATTCAACAGTAGCGCGTCCTCGGCAACACAAGCAGTCAAACCAATAACTGTCATCAAAAATTTGGTTTTAAGGCATTTAATATAACAGATAACACTTTTGGGTCTCACCTGTGTTACAGTTATCTTTTTTGACTTTTTCCTGTTTGTCCTCCCAGTCGTCCCTCAGCCTGAGCCTCTCCTGGGTTGCAGAGTCTTTCTCCATAAGATACGTAACCAAGATCGTCTCCAGCAGGCTGAGCAGCATCAGAGCAAAAATCACAATGCAGTAGGTCGCTGAGAGAAGAAAGAAGGCAATAACTTGTTCATATTTGGTGCTCCTGACTGTATGAATCATAATCCAGTTAACAATATGGCCTTACAGCAGGAGTCAGTACCTATGAGTGGTGTCTTGTTGGACATGGAGGGCAGGATGTCGTTCAGAATGAGCAGCAGGACGGAGATGGCCAGCAGCACAGTGACTTTGAAGCCCAGCTTCTCTCCTCGATGGTCTGCGATGAAGAAGGAGGCGAGGTCCAGACTTAGGAAGAACAGGATGGGCAACAGGAAGTTGATGACATGGAGAAGGGGCCTCCTCTTCATGGTGAACTAGAAAAACAGCTTCAAAGGTCAGACTAGATCGACCAAATGACAACAGAAATTATAATTTCTGGAGTTACAAACTTACTCTGGGGGCCTGTTTCGGAACAAACTCTGAGTCTAACCCTGACGCTGATTCTGAGATGAAAAACTCTGAGTGTTAAGTCAGTTCAGTCAACTCTGAGCTAAGCTCGTGCATATAAATATTAATGTATAAATATCTGACCTGTACACATTCATCTTAAAAAAAAGTGTCAGTAAGTCAATACAATTAAGTTTTATTCAGTGATGTCCATTAATAGGGCGGCACGGTGGTGTGGTGGTTAGCACTGTCGCCTCACAGCAAGAGGGTTGCCGGTTCAATCCCGGGTGTGGGAGCATGTTCTCCCCGTGTCAGCATGGGTTCTCTCCGGGCGCTCCGGCTTCCTCCCACAGTCCAAAGACATGCAGATTGGGGACTAGGTTAACTGATAACTCTAAATTGTCTGTAGGTGTGAATGTGAATGTGTTTGTCTCTATGTGTCAGCCCTGTGATAGTCTGGTGACCTGTCCAGGGTGTACCCTGCCTCTTGCCTGATGTCAGCTGGGATAGGCTCCAGCCCCCCCGCGACCCTCAAGAGGATGAAGCAGTTAGAAGATGAATGAAGAAGAAGATGATGTCTATTAATTCATCATTTAGGCCACAACTACATTATATTTTAATTACACTGCTCAGAAAAATTAAGGGTACACTTTATGGTCACAGTCTAACACCAAGTCTGTTAAATCTGGGATATCAATCTGTCCATTTAGGAAGCACAAGTGATTGTGAATCAGTTTCAGCTGCTTTGGTGTAAATCAAAGTGACAACAGGTGCAATGAAAAGGCAAAAGCAAGACAACTTACAAAAAGGAAATGGCTTTACATGTGGTGTCCACAGACAGCTGCTCTGTCCTTATCCTTCCTGACTGATTCTTCTCTAGTTTTCTGTTCTGCTAGTGTCCTTGTCACTACTGGTAGCATGAGGCGGTACCAACAAACCAAAACAAAACAAAAAAAAAACTAAAGGTGGGGCCTCACACCTGGGCACTTGCTAGCCTGTTGCAATGTGTGTTCACCAAATGCTAGGAAGGAGTCTTGCCTTGCCTCTATAGGACCCAACTTGGAAGGACCCTACCTACAAAGGAAGCATTCTTGACTTTGAGAAGCACCAACACGCATCCTTGAAAATTCTCTGAAAGAAGGACTCAGTCCTCGGTAGAATTTTAAGGATCCTTGACATTGGAACAGTCCTTCAGCGGAATTTGATGGTGTAGCCTCCTTGAAATTCAGCCATTTAAAGTTCCTTCAATGACTTTGAGAAGCACCAAGAGTTTGTTGAAGAAAACCTGCCAGCAAGCAAGGTAGGTTCATAGAATCAGTTACCACAGTAACTGACTCAGAGTTTAAGTTATCTCTATTTCTGAAACAGAAAACCCAGAGTTTCTCTCATCTCAGGGTCAACTATGTCAGTGTTTTCACTAAACTGGTTTTCTGAAACAGGGCCCAGGTGGCCAGAGTACATTTTAAAAAAACTTCTTCACTTGTGCAGAGGAATAATGATTCGCTCTTGAATTACTTAATTTGTGGTCTCATAATAATAACAATAATAATAAAAATAATATACGCACAAACGTACAGTGTATATGAGCTGTTCCCACTGTTTATTGTCGATGCTGAAATTGCGGCTGGTGACGGACAGCTGGAGGAACTCCCACTCTCCCTGAGTCATCATCAGCTCTCTGGAAAACTGTGTGGCTCGTGACGAGTTGGAGAAAGGAAAGAGACGAACCTCCTCAACTGAGGAGAGAGGACGAAAGTTTGAGCGTAAGGAGGCGAAGGTAAAAACACTGACTTCAGCACAGTCACACACACACACATACACACACACATACACACACACACACTCGCTCCTTCACCACAGTGTATTGCGGATCCAATGGAGATGTTGCATCTCTGTACGTCGAAGGGGAACTTGTGGACGTCCATCTCACAGCTGCTGACCACCTTCATGTCCTCTTCCAAAGTGATCACCCCATTGTGGGACACCTGCATGTACGGATTCTGAGGGGAGTCATCCTTCTGTGTCCTGAGACACAAACACACAAAATCTTTTCATGTTATGTTTGTGGTGCATTCAAACCGCACGGTATATCACATTAATCATGAACTGAATGAATCAATGATGGAGCGCCTCATAGCACCACCTCAGGACCATGTGTTTGCTTGTTGTTCTGCTTAACAATAGTGTTGTATGAGCTCTAATAAAGGTGAGCACACAGTGAAGTCATTAACCTACTAAACAAACAGGGTGTGTGGAATCAGCAGACATCAAGCTATTGAATTACTTAATGTTGAACAGCTACATAATGAGTGCTGGACCTAGCACACTTCGCTAGTACCAGGTTGGACCCCTGTTGACCTCAGAACTGCCTGAATTCTTGGTGGCACAGATTCAACAAGGTGCTGGAAACATTCTTCAGAGATTTTGCTCCATATTGACATGATGACATCACACAGTTGCTGCAGATTTGTCGGCTGCACATCCTTGATGAGAATCTCCCGTTCCACCACACCCCAAAGGTGCTCTATTGGACTGAGATCTGGTGACTGTGGAGGCCATTGGAGTACAGTGAACTCATTGTCATGTTCAAGAAACCAGTTTGAGATGATCTGAGCTTTGCGACATGGTGCGTTATCCTGCTGGAAGTAGCCATCAGAAGATGGGTACACTGTGGTCATAAAGGGATGGACACAGTCAGCAACAATACTCAGGTAGGCTGTGGTGTTTAAACCATGCTCAGTTGGTACTAAGGGGCCCAAAGTGTGCCAAGAAAATATCCCCCACACCATTACACCACCACCACCAGCCTGAACCGTTGATACAAGGCAGGATGGATCCATGCTTTCATGTTGTTTACACCAAATTCTGACCCTACCATCTGAATGTGGCAGCAGAAATCCAGACTCATCAGACCAGGCAACGTTTTTCCAATCTTCTATTGTCCAGTTTTGGTGAGCCTGTGTGAACTGTAGCCTCAGTTTCCTGTTGTTAGCTGACAGGAGTGGCACCTGGTGTGGTCTTCTGCTGCTGTAGCCCATCTGCTTCAAGGTTGGACGTGTTGCTGGTTCAGAGATGGTCTTCTGCAGACCTTGGTTGTAACCAGTGGTTATTTGAGTTACTGTTGCCTTTCTATCATCTTGAACCAGTCTGGCCATTCTCCTCTGACCTCTGGCACCAACAAGGTCACTGGATACTTTCTCTTTGTGGGACCATCCTCTATAAACCCTAGAGATGGTTGTGTGTGAAAATCCCAGTAGACTCAGACCAGCCCATCTGGCACCATCAACCATTGCGCGTTCAAAGTCACTTAAATCACCTTTCTTCCCCATTCTGATGCTCGCTTTGAACTTCAGCAGGTCTTCTTGACCATGGCTACATACCTAAATGCATTGAGTTGCTGCCATGTGATTGGCTGATTATTAGGTACAGGTGTACCTTATAAAGTGGCTGGTGAGTGTATATTTATTATTTTATTTTTGTCTTTCCATGGGTGGATTATCGAATGGGCCTACCAGGCCCAGGGGCCCATAGGCTCAGGGGCTGTTATCAACTTTGCAACACCTGTTGCAGTCAAATGACTCATCTGTGGGGGTTTACGCATCTGAGCACAGAGACCTATTGTTTTATAATCCGCCTGTGTGTCCATCTCTTCCTTTAAAATCAGTTTTTGTGTATCTTTTCATGTGCGTTCGTGTGTGCTGTAGGCTCACATCTCATAGATGAAGAGGTCTGGTCTCCAGAGCATTTCTTTAGGAACTGAAATATGAGTGATTCCACAAAACTGAGCTGGGTCCCACGAGATGCGCTCATTGTTCCACATCTGCAGGAAATTAAAGGTGAAATACCAGACAGATAAGAGACAGGTTGTCGCAGAGACAGCTGACATAAAATAAAAGAGACATGTAAATGATCCAAAAAAATCAGAGCTCACCATTGTTGCCCAGATGAAAGGAATAAAAGTTTGTGTTTTCTCAATCTGGTAATAAACACACAAACACACACATCAGAACAAATCATCTCAATGTCCAGTATTACAGTTTAGCTTCCAGTGTTTCTGGCAGTATCAGCTCTTCGCTACTTCAACTAATGGACCAACCAGGTAACGAGCTCACAGTGGTTGCTCTGGTCAAAGAGGATGCAATTTGGCCCCTGTATGATAGAAGTTTACCAGCAGGCCCCCTGGACAAGGCTGGATGTTCAAAATAAAAGCCCCCAGATGGTACCAAGAGTTTACCAAGGCCCTGAACTAGGCTGGATTTTCAAAATAAAAGCCCCCAGGTGGTACCAAGTGTTTTTCAGGGGCACTGAACTAGGTTGGATTTTCAAAATAAAAGCCCATAAATGGTGCCAAGAATTTACCAGGGGCACTAAACTTGGCTGGAACTCAAAATAAAGGCATCTAGCACCTACCACGGCCAGGATGGCATAGAGGATGATGTCCAGCTCCACCATGGTGAGGTGCGTGTAGTCCAACACAGGCCGGGTCAGTTTAAACGCGGCGTTATTTGTGGTAAGATTCAAGTAGTCCACTATATCCTGGTAACTGCACACTTTCTCAGAGGACAACCCATCTGAATGAAAACAGTTATCAGAGACAATTTCTTCCCAAAACTTCAACTTCAATAAGAAGTTTTTGTTGAACCTACTGCAGTTTTTTTTTTAGTTTATTGTTGATTTAACTTGATTTATCTTATACTCAAAAGTTGATTCTGTATGAAAACCAGAGTAGATTCTTTATCCTCAAATTTGTTAGATTTTTTCCTTCTGCAAGTTCATAACAAAAAAAAAAACATTCTTTCTATTGCATTCTAAGCTGGCTAATGAAGAGCAATTAGACTAATCTTCTGTGTACATTATTTTTAAACACAGATGTTATGATAAGAGGAAGGCTTCTGGAGTCATCTGCATTACTGTTTCCCCTCCTCCTTTAGATGAAGCACTATTTTCTCTCCACAGCAGCGTGAACCAGGCAAACCAAAGATGTCATAACATGGTTTGAGTTTGATGAAAAGGTGACCATTTTTGGTTCAAGATTTGCACTGACCCTCACCGCCTCCACACCCTTAAACAGTTTATAACCCAAATATAAACAGTGCTAGCACGATGGAAAATACTATTCCAACCAAAGCAATCACCGATACTTTGCTTAGACACTTTTCCAAAGTCCAAAGACATAAACACACATCAAACATGCTTGTGCAGCACAAAGTCTTACCTGTGAAGACGATCAGGAGGAGAAAAGCAACATGTATCATATCTGCAGCCGTGAGTGAGTGTGTGTGTGTGTGTGTGTGTTAGAGCAGCCTCCAGCTGAGAGTGTGTCCCTGCTGTACGACCAGACCCACTGTGTGATGCGGTCCTTTGATTTGAGCAGAGGAGGGTTGGGCTGGATGAATGACCTCTGCCTGAGATGAGAAACCCCTCCCACAGTGGACAGCAAGGATTGACATTGCAATCGGTTAAAGAGTAACTTTACTGTTTTTCAACCCTATCTTCAGATTTGTGATTTAGAGATACACTGTGACAAAAACAACATATTTTTTTCTAATACTCTGTGTGTCTCTGGGGGCTACTTCAAACTGTTCTTCTGCAAACCAGTGGCACCATTGGTTCTTGGAAGAACTACTCTGGGTATCCAGGGGGCGTGCTCTAGATGCATCTCAAAAACAAATCCTCCCTCGTCTTGCTTCATTGCAAACTAGCTACGTGTCTAACAGCACATTGGCATCGTGTGATATAAGTGAGGAGGATGTTATAGATAGAGATTCAAGCAAGGTATTTATTCGAGCCAGACTACACAGCTGAAGAAATGCAGTGGCAAGATGACGGCGCAATCCAGTGGAGAGCTTCGGAGGCTGCAGCTGTGTTTGCCATTCATGTGTATACAGTTTGTTGCAACCCTCCAGAACCTTTGCTCAAACAGAGCTGACAACAACACAAAGAGCCTGTATTGCGTTATTATCTATGAAAGTTTTGCTCCTCACTTGGACAGAGGTGTGCAGGAGACTACGGTTGGACTATTGGTAGAATGTATTGACCAATGGTTAAGCACGTTGTCAATTGTTTGATTTTTTTTAGGGGAAGGGGGGCAATTTTGTCATTTTAGTTTGCTTCTACCTCAAAGAAAACAAGTCAGAGCTGCTGCTCTGCTAACTTTTGACATCTAACTCGGTGAGTTAAGGGTTTATTTCAACCAAACCAGAGCTGGTGATTGTTGGAACAGTGGCCCAACTAACCATGGAGGTTCTGATGAGTTTCATTTTGTTTCTGTTGAGTTTGAATGAAGCATCAGCTAGGGCTGCCTCCTAATGGTCAACCAAACGTTAGTCGACCAGAAAGGTCATTAGTCCGCAAGATTTCATTGGTCGCTTAGTCGCAGAAAAAAACAACAACAACAACAACAACAACAACCAAACATGAAACTCTATTAGGAGCTGCGCCTTGTCAAAATAAATCAAAACCTATATGACTGGACCATGTAGACAGGAGTTACGTTACAAACCAATCACAGCCCACAGATATCTTTCCCTTCTTCTGTAAATATTCAGTCTGATAAATACAGAAACACTGATCATGTTAGTGCAGGGCTACCCAGAGCTTTACATCTGTCCCACAGACAGCGGCTGGAATAAGATCAGCTCTGCACTCAGAATTTCAGGTAAATAGGCTATACGGTGCTTGTTAAGGTTGCTTAGCAACCTCAGACGCAACCTGCCGCCACGCTCTTGAAAGGTGGCACAAAAAAGGCACAAGAGTAGGTCCAAGCACCCGACCTCACGTTTTCCTGGCGGTTAAAGACGCAGCATGTGTGCGGCCCCTAATTTCCAGGGCTGGTACCTGCGGTTATTCCACAGGCTAGTTAAAAACATGTCGGGCAGGAAATCCAAAGTGTGGGATCATTTTGAGAAGGTGAAGGACAAACCCAAGGTGATATGTAAACTCATCTTCATTGGTCGACTACAAACATGACGTATCATCTGAAACATGGAAGTAGCTACATGCCCATTAGCCCACAGCGTCATTAACAGGCGGCTCGCTCAGTGTGTGACGTGCACTTGTAGATAAAATATAGGCCTATATTAATGAAGGTTCATTAGTACGGTTTTGTATTTCTCTGTAATGTAGCACAGCGTTAACAATGTTACTGATACTATTCTTTCTCACACCTTCAACTCAAACCATTGTGTTGCCCCGCCCAAAATATATCATTTAATCATTAAATTAATATCGTAAACATGCGGGTGACTAGTCGACTAATGGCCCTAAATGATGACTACTGGTCAACTAGCAAAATTCTTAGGCCGGGGGGAACACCTAATATCAGCAATCACCGGTTGTTAGGTGAACTGTTTCCTGTTGGAAAATCACTGGAGACCTTCTTCAGGATCCTGAAGACAGGGCTCAGAGGGCAGATAACACCTGAGTGAGTACTTTTTTCACTGAGCACTATGTTTTGGCCACCAAAGTAATAGCTTTTGTCTGGGGTGGTGATACACAGCTTCCAGGCACTATACAAGAAGGCATGTTTGTTGTTAATACATTTTTTGCCCAACATTCTCATCGAACACTGGAGTAACATATTTCAGACACTTTTACTTTTTGTAAACAGAGTTTGAAATGCTTACTGCCTATTTGGGGGTTGAGCGTCAGGAGCCCGGCCACAATGCATCCTGAAGACACTGCAGTAACGGCCGTGCAAGAAAAAAACTCAGTTTCCTCGGTCAATACTGCGCACACTGAGAAATGTATTGCTTCAATTGGCTACATTTAACATCAACACTGATTGGATAGGCGGGACATGTGGTGTACATCAGGCCTTGGCTTGACTCTTGAGGCAAGTGAGATTGAAGGCAACAAATAATAAAACTAAGGGAAAGGCAAGTGGAGAGGCTTTATCCATCTGGAACGAGACATAATGTGAATTTACAGCTGGCTCACATCTTATTTGACACGGGGGACAAAAGGATAGAGAATCTCAGTCTGCACATGTGAGGACACAGAGTTACAAAACAAGACATTTACTGTACCATATGCGGGGCAGGCCGCATCAGATGAGAAGATAAAATTCAATTAGAGCGGAACTTGATCACTAAAACGACGAGGTAATGACATTATGAACACTGAAGCCATTTAAACCCACTCATCTTGTGCAAGGCTCATCGCGGGCAGCCTGGCATTAAAGCTGATTTATTATTTATGTAAAAAGTCTGTTTTTGGACCAGAAGTGACTTCGCTGATGCAGTTTTAATTCTGAGTGAATGGTTTTGTATTTTAATGGACTTGTGTGCTCACACTGGAGTTTCTGAAAAAGTAATGATTTTTTTTATTAATTAATCGTCAGTTGCAAATAGTGATACATGTCTAAAAAACAGCTTGTTTTGTCTGATCAACAGTTCATAATCTAAAGATGTTGAAATCACAGCCAGTGCTTTTCCACTATTTTGATTATTGACTTCAGTGATTGGTAATAAAAAATAATCTGAGTAAACATTTAGTTAACTTCTCAAAAAGAGTTCCAGGTTATTCCCGTAAACAAGAACATAAGTTTAACATTGGTACCTGGGATAATCTGGGAGTCTATAAAGAAACAGAAAGAAATACATTTACCTTTTTAAGTATCTAAGATACGGTTAATGGGAAGTTTTTCATATGTAAAGACCTGATCCATGTTTAAAGCTGTATACATTGTTTTTTGGCCACTTGGGGGCAGCGTTACACAATGTCATTACAACACTGACATATTATCACCTCATAAAGTTACACGAAAGCAGATGATTGTGTATTTACATGTCCAGTAGACAGAAAGCTACATTAGCATTTAATTTGAATTGAGTATGTGGCCACCTCATGAGTTCAAAGGCAGCATTTACAAGAGGACCAGATCAAATGCCTTGTGTGAGAAAGCTGCTCTTGATTGGTCAGAATTTCCATGTAGGAAAAATCCAGGAAGCAAACAAAACCTTGAAGAAGAGTACACTTGCAAGATAAATGTGACACTTTCTAATGTCACAATGGAGGGACAACTACGCAGGTTGATTTTAGCACTGCTCATCGTGGACTATATTGCTGTCATTGTTCATTTTAGTCAAACCATACAGTTTGAAAACGAGGCGCGGCTCCAACTAGAAAACAATGTTTTGATGCATTGGATGTGCTGAATGTGCATATTAAGGCAGTACAGGAGGAGGTGCACATTAATAATCCTCCAGGACTGTAACATGCTCATGTTTAACCCAAACAATGTGTCATGTGACTGCAGTTGGTTCACATCCAGGTTGGAACACGTTCTCACCACAAACGAACCGCACCAGAGTTTGTTTGTAACCAGACTGAGACCACCTCTTCAAGAAGGTCTCTGTCCGGTCGTTTTGGATAGCACCTGAGTGTGATTGCTGTGTTCACACCTGCCCAAACGAACTTGAGCTCAATTGAAGGGAACCACACGGGGCAGGTGTGAAGGCAACCCAAGTCGCTGATGGGGCAAATAATTTTTGAAATTTGTCCAAATTCATCCAGTCATCAGCGAGAGGGCTGCCGTCAGCAGCCGCTAAGTGCGTGTTTTTCCCTCTGACAGGCTCAGATAATTATCAAAAGTGTCAGCCAGCATTATGAAAAGGATCCCTACAGAGACAGACCTTTTTGTTAAAGAATAACATCGTTCTTGTTTATCCAGAAACAGCCCTGAAATCACTGTCACCAAAGCAGCCAGACTCCCTTTAAATGATCAGTAATTTTAGCACATAGCATTTTAACACGCTTTAATGAAAGCTGATAGAAAAAAAATAAAACTACAAAACAAAACAGAAACTGCTTTGGTTCGTTTTTCCATTGTTCCAACAATCACTGGCTTTGGTTTGTTGAAATAAACCTTTAATTGACCCAGTCAGATGTAAAAAATGCTGATTCTATATAACCTAAAATTACAGATTATTTAAATGGAGTTTGGTGAATTTGGCATCAATGATTTCAGGGCCATTTCTGGTTAAATAAAAAGGATCTTACTCCATAATGTTGTCAGACACTTAAAATAATAATCTGAGCTTGTCAGTGGAAAGGCTGAACAAGTACTTGTAGTGCACATATGTTGACAGTGCAAACACATCTTGAGTGTTGACATTCCAGTCTGTTTTGCAGCTGCCAGCTGAAGCTCTCTTGCTGAATACTGGACCAGTTTGCTTTGTTTTGACATTTTACCGTGATTGTTTTTCTTTTCACTTTAAATTTCGGTAACTGGAGATTAAAGTGGGAAGAAAACTGTGCGTATGGAGAGAGGAGGACTGATAAAACTGTTTAATAAAACAATTTTGAGTCAAATGCAAATAATGCTAATC